CTGCAGGGGCTGCAGCCTATGCCATCGCTGGCGACTCACGGCAGCCCAGCTCCAGGTCGAGCTGTTGTTCACCATCTTAGCTGTAGAGGACGCAGTGTCACTGGCCCTCATGTAAGATCCGAACCGGGGCCCTGCTGTTCAGAGCTGGCATCCCAAGCCAGCTCTTAACCAATGCGCCACTTGGCTGGCCCAAAATATGTCTTTTTAAATAAAGTTTTATAACGAAGTATAATACTACCTCAAAGACTTATGTCACTAGTTTTTACACAATATCTAGAAACCATCTAACTATCCAACCAGGAGAAAAATGGTGAATTCACGGTGCAGGCAAATGGTGGTGGAATATTAAAAAGTGTAATGTTTCCAAAGAATATTTAAAAGGACAAAGCAATGCTCATGATATAACATTAAGTGATAAAGGATACCTATATATGTGCCATTTGTTTCTTCTAAGAAATTATATACGTATATACCATGTATGTACAAGCAGAAAAAAGGAACTAAGAAATTAGCATTTTAAAGGTGGTTATTTCTGATAGGAATTTTTGTAAATTTTCTCTTTTTCTACTCATGTTATATATTTTCCAAGTTTCTACAATGAACATGTATCCTTTTATTAAAAAAAAAGTTACTTAAAACTTGCAATGCTACTGATTAAGGACAGACGTATAACAATTGTATCACACTCTCACCACTCTGATTATTACAATTACATTTTTAATTTTGTCTAATGTAAAAGGAGTAAAATGGTATCATGTCTTATAAAAAGTCATTTTATAAATAAGAATAGAAATATCAATAATCTTTCTGGTTCCTTATTGATTCCATCTGACTTCTACAACCCTGCAGAGGGTCTCAACAGCTGGATAACCCACAAGGGTAAGCACTAAAGATACTATTAGGCTTTTGTTCAAACACTGGGATATAGTCACCTAAAACAAATTAAGGACCCTTAAATCTTCTGGTGGGAGTGAATAAATATTCAAGATTCCTAGTTTTATAGACAAACAAAAATTTAAAAGGCACACTCTAATTAAATAAATAATGGGAGAACCAAACCCTATAGATCTGGACAGTCCACTAGCTACATATGGTTATTTAAATTGTTAAAATTAAATAAAATTAAAACTTCAATTCCCGGGACAGCCAGTTACCTCAGTTGGTTAGAGTACAGTGCTCGTAACACCAAGGTTGCCGGCTCGATCCCCACATGGGCCACTGAAATGCCCTCCACAACTAGATTGAAACAACTACATGACTCGGGAGTTGATGGGTCTTGGAAAAACACACTGTTCCCCAATAAATTTAAAAAAAAATTTTGAATTCCCAGTCACACTAGCCCCATTTCAAGTGTTCAATAGCCTTCCCCCGCCACCCCATATCTAAGAGCTACTGAACTGGACAGCATAGATACAGAACATCTCTATCATAGCAAACAGTTCTATTTAGGTGGATGATGCTACAACAGATGTTGCTGAACACACATGGGGAGAAAAACCCAGTTAACTGTATATGTAAATGAAATTTGTAAATCAATCAAGAACGCTTTTAAAATGGTATGAAAACCTGAAGGAATGGAAGACCATTTCTCTTTTGATCAAACCTGTGGAAGAAAGGAGATTATGCCTATAACTTACATTCGCTTTTGCTTTAAAACCCGCAAGGCTTTCTGCTTGACCATATTCTGGGGAGAAAAACAGATTTTTAATGAAAAGTAGAAAACATACATATGGTAAAAGAAATCTCCCATGCCCTCAGACTTATATATCTAGTTACTCTCTTCTTCAAAGTAGTGGACGCAGTGGCTTCTGGATTGTTCTTCACCTCTCAAGCACTTTAAGCCTCAGCTTGTCTCTCTGCCTTTGCATCTCATATCTCAGTGCATGAACTGCATTCCTTTTTCCTAGTATGTATTAGCTCCACCCCCCAACCCAACAGTGCTGATTTTGTGTATCCTGTTGCCTTAAGAGATTCCCAACTTGGACATCCTGCTATCCACTCAAACTCAGCATGCGCAAACTCCTCAACCTGCTCCCTCCTTGGAAATTGCTAACAATGGCCCCACCAATCTCTCACTTCTCTAGGTTGTCTCCTACCTTTCCTCTCTCTGTTGTCTCTTCATGCAGTCTTCTCACTGATTTTCAAAACTCATTTTCAAACTGATTCATGTCATTCTCATGACTACCACTATGGTTCGGGCTTTCATCTGCAGATGAGCTTTCCTGCCTCTGGTCACTCTTCATTCCATGCCATCAACTAAGATGGCTGAGAAAAGCCTCTTGTTACTTCCCTTTCTATACTGTTCCATAAATCATTTTATTTGTCTCCTCCAATGAAGAAGGAAAAGCAAATATTACTTCAAAGACAATAATATAATAATACCTGACATTTATTAAATGTTTCTATGTACTAGACACAGTGCTATGTAGGTCACATGAATTACCTCATTTAATCCTCACACTATAGATATTGTCCCCATTTTACAGATGGGTAAATGAGGTTCAGTGATGCTAAGTAACTTGCCCTAACTCAAATGATTTATAAGTCACGAAGATGGAAGCAAAGAAAGTAGTTCTATATCCACGGTCCATGTACTTCAATACAGTATTCTATGTTTCTACCTAACAGAAAATGGAAATGAAAAATGAAGTGACTTTATCAAGGCCACAGCTAGTAAGTAGTGATAGTGTTATTAGAACACTGGTCTCCAGATGCCTAGTTCAGCACTTTTTCCCCAGCATGCCACTCCTTAATCAGTCTATTATACCTACCAAACATGACCAGCCTAACAACTCATTATTCCTGAGAATGGCCTATCCCTTTTCTCCAGATTGCCACTGTCTCAGTAGAATCTGTTAATTCCCATGTACCTGTTCAGGACATGTGATCAGTATCTTCTCTCCACTAGGTCAAACTCCAGCCTCTCTCTCATATCTGGCTGCAAACTCTCCTCCCTGAAGGATATACCATCACATAGGTTTTTCTCCCTACCAGACTGTGAGCATGTTTTCTGTATCTCTCACCAGCCCCTACCACCAGGCCCGACTTCCACAGGTGCCCACATTAAGCTGTCACAGCAGCTGCTGCCTACCTTACCTTTGCAGGGCCCTCTCTCATCTTCTTGATCTGATCCTTATACTTCACGAGCTCTGCATCGAGTCGAGAAATCTTCTTGTCAATGGATTCTGCCCTGCTGTCCACCTTGAGGGGAAAGAAAATCAAAGGCAATGGTAGTTACTGTAATATACTTACATGAGGAGAGGCAGGAGAGGAAGGAATATGGAGGAAAAGAAAAAGGATCATAAGGTGAAGGGTAGAAAACTGTGGTTCCCAACAGGAGTGGGGCAATGGGATTTCCAGTCAGAAACATCGGGGAGCTTTTATAAACTATACTCCACTCTCCACATTCTGATATTCCAGAGTCTCCCTCAAGTGCATTTGGGCAGAAAAATAATTTGAGAAAAACTAGGCTGAGTTGCGTTTTCCCTAGAATCAGAGTCTAGTCAGGCTGGGGGCTCAACCTGGAGGTTGTGAAATAAGCTAGTGCCCAGTGGTCCCTGGCTGGGGCTTAGATCTAATGCTGTTCTTTAGATAGAGGGACCATGGTTCTGAATTTTGTGTTACTGAGATCCAAGATGGGTACAGTATGTTGAACTAGGATATCAAGCCTAGGGTCCTGACGTGGGAGAAGGACGAGGGATAAAACATGGGTAAGGGGTCGGGATGGACAAGGTGGGGTGTATGGCCCTACGGCTGTTTGGGGTGAAGGGGTAAAAATAAAAAAGTGGACATGGCAGTGGGCATCAGAAGGGATGGGGTGCAAGCAGGGAGAGACAGTGATGGGTTGAGGGTCCCTGGTTTGTGGCGTCAGGGGTGACCTGGATAACAGGAACAAAGGTGGAGTGCAGAGGGCCGACGTGTAATGGGCCCGGGACCAGGAATGGGGTTGAAGGAGCAGGAGCCGAGAGCCGGGGGTGGGTGGGGTCGGGGTATCAGAGTCCCCGAGCATAGTTACGTGGGGTCAAGCACCCACCGTGCCAATGCAGTCAGTTAAGCTGGGCGGCGGAGCCTTGGGTTTCGCTTTTCCGAAGATTCGGTTCATGTTGGGCAGCCGCAAAGAAAACCCAAACACTAAAGCAAAAAACAGAAAACGGAAGCAGAGTCACCTCCGCCTGTGCCTTGACTTCCGGGCCCCCATGCGCAAGCGCAGCGTGCCCATTGGAATTTCCCGATCCTTTTTCCGGCTTTTCATCTCGGCCTTCCGGGGAAGGAGAGCTCCAGGAGGTTGGAGGTGTGGGATAGAGTGTCAGCAGGGGGGCGTGGCCTCGCTGAAGGACGCGGGCGTGGCTTCAGATGAGTAAGGTGGGGCCTCGGCTGAGTAGGTGGGGCCCTGGACGGCTTCCCCACTATAGAGCAAGGCAGAGCCGGCTCGGTGGGGCGGGGCCGGTGGGCCCGGGCGAGGCGTGGCGCGTCTGGAAAGTAGCTCCGCGGTGTTGCTAGACGCGGCGCTCAGGTGGCGCGGAGTTCAGCTCCTACCGTTGGGCGGGTAACAAGCGCGGATCTGGCGGAGCGCAGTGGTGCGCGAAGACAGCGAGGCGACCGGGAGCGGCTGGGCCCCCGGCGGCGCGCCCCTCGGCCGGGCCGGGAGCAGCGCCAGTCGGTGCCCCCGGCCGAGCGCGGTCCGCTTCCGTCTCAGCAATCATCTACCCGGAGTGCGGCCAGAGGGCATGTCGGATCCACCAGGGGCGCCGCCTCCGGCGCTCGCAGGCCGCGGGTGAAGAAGAAAGTGCGGCCTCGCTCGGCCAGGAGTGAACAAGTGGCCCAGAGCGTAGAGGTGACAGAGAACGAAGAGGTGACCCTAAGCGAAGAGGTGGCTCTAAGCGAAGAGGTGGCTCAGAGTGAGGAAATGGCGGCAGCTGGGCTCATCGTGACCGTCACCCACAGTGAGCACAGGTGGCCGGGTGGCCTCCCTGGCGGGCTACTAAGGTCTGGCGGGGTCTGTGAGTTTGGCCACGTGTCTTCGGGAAGCGGGTGTCCAGGGTTTGTCCTAGCGTCCGGAAGTGTGGGTTCTTGTTTGTGTCCGTGGGGCTGGCTTTTGTGCAGGTCTGTGTGAGCACACTTTTCTGTATGGCCGCTGTATTTTGTCTCAGGTCGTTTGTCTCATCCTTGACATTCGTGCTTCACGTCGTGGTCCTGGTTATATGTGTTAGTGTGTGCCTGCACGGTTATTGTGGGACTTTGTGTCAGGCTTGTATTTGACCATGTGTATGATTGCTGTGTTTCTGGACACCTATGTGTGTGGTGTCTGAACTCATGTCCGCTGTTTGAGTGGGCCCTAGGTCCAAGCATACACTCTGGACACCCTTTGGGTCTGTCTACTGTTGGAGTAGACACAGAACTAAACAGTCAATTCACTAGAGAGCTGAGTCCATGAGGTTTCCTCAGGACCAACCCTGGAAGACCCAGGGCCTCAGAATCTGGAGACCAGGATTCTAAATCCTGCAGTTTTGAGTGACCTTGGAATGTCTCCTTTCTACGCATCTGGTTTCTCTCTCTGAAGTAGAGTCGGTAACACCTGTCCCTGTGGCTTCACATCTGTTGCGCGGGCTCAAGCCTTGGCCTAATGCACTGGACATAGACTACCTCTTTACTGTCCACATACCTGGAAAAGAATTGGCACCTCTGCTCCAAAAAGAAATTTTTTGCTGTTTGAGTTTATTCACTCATTTGTCTATTTACTGAGCACCAACCATGTATGTGTCCAGTAGGAGAGACTTGGAGGAAAAACAGTCCCTTGCCCATTAAAGGAGACAAAGGCCAGTATAGTACCGAGTACAGGGCAGTCAGGCCACAGGAGGTAGATGGCTTATAATGAAAAGCATGGACTTTGGAATCAGATCTGAGGTCAAGTTCTGATTCCACAGTTGGATCTCCATAGTCAGGTTTTAAGTGGACTGAACTCCGTTTGCTTATCTGTGAAATGAGGAATAATAGGTAGTCCCTACTTCATAGGGTTGTTTTGAGGATTAAATAAAATAATGCATGAAATAAGCCTAGACAGCCCCTTGTGCATGTTAAGCCCTTAAAATATTAGTTGATATCACCAATATTGTTATTATAATAGAGAAAACAAAAATCCTTGAGCAGGTCACCAGAGGAAAGCTGGGCAGATGGGGTGAAAGACTGTTTGGAGAAAGTGGCATATGAACTGGGTCTTGAAGACTGTGTAAATAAGTATCATAAAGTGTCAGCCTATATTGGTTTATGTGAAAGAGTTTTCTTCATTGAATGCTTTTCTCTCTCCCAAGGCAATGAGAAGCATGACCTTCATGTTATTCCACAACAGGACTGTACTGAACCAACTGTCCAAGACCTGGCCCAGGTTGTTGAAGAGGCCACAGGGGTCCCCCTACCTTTTCAAAAACTCATATTTAAGGGTAGGCATTTCTCTTTCAGCTTTGAGCCTCTATGGCTAAAGGGCCTATTTAAAACTGCTTTACCTTACCTGATGGTAACTCTCAGTTTCTCAAACTGGCACAATTCTTATTTGCTGTTTGAGTTTATTCACTAATTTGTCTATTTACTGAGCACCAACCAGGTATGTGCCCATGTGTGCCCAGTGGGAAAGACTTGGAGGAAAAAACAGTCATTTATTCCTTCAGCAAATATTTATTGACATATGTACTGGATACTTCCAAACATTTGGTCAGGTATTAGAGTTGAAGTCACGTGAGGGTGGCAAAAATCTTACCATTTTGATGAAACACATAGTTAGACTTGCCTGGCTAAGTTAGATCCTCTTTCCATTGTATGGTCATATCACACTCCCTACCACTTCAGCATAACTTGTATTGAAATTACTGTTACATAATTATTTTGATAGTTGCTGGACACTTGATTTTTCTGTTAGAAGAACAAACTCTGTGAGGGCAGAGATACTGCTATGTGTCCAATGCTCGGCACAGTGCTGACACAGAAAGGGTGTTGAATGAACAAGCTTACCTGGGGTCTGGCCGTGACAGGCCCATGAATGATGCTGTTTTCAGCCAGGACTCACTTCCTCCCCACCCCCAGCCTCTGTCTTCCCATTCCCTTGAGAACCCATTATTTTGGTATCTGATGGGGCCAGATTTATCCCATTTTGGTGCCAGTCCTAATGGGATAATTTATACTTCATAGTGTAACTCTTTGTCTTTTGTAAAACATTCATTTTAGAATTATAAAGGCAATAGAAATCCAAGTTTTAAAATAGAGAAAACACACAGAAGAAAATGTTCTCCTGAATAAAACCTCTCATAACATTTCACATATTTCTATCCAGTCTTTTTTGTTTGTTTGACCTGTCACCTAGAAGTGTGGGGTCTTTTTTGTAGTTTTTTTTTTTTAGTTGACAAAACCAGGATCATATTAATTATACAGTTTTTATACCATTTGTTTCTTATAACACTGGGTATTCGCTATTTATTGTGGCGTTGAAGTTTCTGGAATAAATGCGCTTTAATGCCTACAAAGCCTTCTGTTGTACTGATGTATAGCTAATCGGTGTAGTTAATCAGTTCCCTGTTCCTGAATTTTTGGCCCTTTCCAGTTTCTCACTATTATGAATAAAGTTGCAGTGAAAATTATTGTATAACAGTTATTGTGCAGACACATGTCCAGTTATTTGTTTAGGATAAATATCTGAAGTGAAGTTACTAGGTCAAGACACTTCTAAAAAGGTTACACCAATTTATCCTCTTCTATTTAGTGAACACAGTTGTTTATCTCCTGTACGCTTGCTGAAATCTATTTTCAGTGTTGTACAATTGTTACAACTTGACGTAACTTTCTTCTCTTCAGGAAAATCTCTGAAGGAAATGGAGAAGCCATTGTCTGCACTTGGAATACAAAATGGTTGCCGGGTCATGTTAATTGGGAAAAAGGTAAATTGCTTTTTTCACCAGGATACCTTCAAATCAAATTGACTAAGGTCTTTTATGCATATTTCTATTTAGAAGGCCAAATTGGGGACCCAGAGTCTGCATTGGTGAAATAGCTATCTCTAAAAAGATGTAGTCTTTGTTTGATGGGATTACCAGTTTTGTTCTCGTGTCCTCTGGAGCCTATTGGTTAAGGGTTTTGCTCTGGAAGTTAGGAGCAGTTGTGCTGCCTCAGCAACTCAGGTTTTGTGTTAATAGTGGAATCAGCCTGGTTAAAAAGGTGCCTAAGGCTGGCCTTATTCACTTGGAGGGAATTTGCAAGAGAACATTTTGTTAAAATAAACTTGTAGGTTTTGAAAATAAGTACTCTGTGCAAGTTTTAACCTCTCCCGTTAACCACACTTTTTTATTAAAGTCGCTCACACAGGAAAACACTGGCTGGAAAGAAAGGCTCAGACTAAAGAACTGAGGGAGAAAAAGAGCCAGTTGGTGACAGGTGAGGACAGTAGCTAGCCTCTGGGGTGATGAGAGAGGGCCATGGCCAGTCCTTCATTGTGACACAATAGAATTGTTGGTCATCTGAAAAAGTTCCCTTACTTTGAATGAGGTGCCTGACTCAATGGAGAGAGGGCAGAGATTAGCAAAATGGAGGCAAAGAAAATCTAGTCCAGACATGGAGCTGCCAGGGGACTGGCACTTAGGATTTGGCCACAGAGAAGAATATGAACAGTTTGGGATAGTGTAAAAGTAGGAAGTTGCTGGCCCTGGCTACCAGTTGTTTGGGAAATATCCTGGATTTCTTGTTCAGGGGTCAGGGAGAGTGGTGATGGGGAATGGGCAGAACCCACATGTTAAGGTTGAAGAAGCTGTAGGACCCCTGATTGGAGGAGCTGTCCTGGGGTATATGGAGCCAAGTCAGATTCCAGTCTAAGCTCCACCTCTTTGGGCCTATGTGACCTTAACCCTACGTTGGACACAACTGATCTCACAGATTCATTGCATACAAATTTTCAAATATCTTAACAGTTAAGTATCATGACTCATCGCTTCCGTATCTTCCCCCTCTCCCTCTACTGTAACCTATCACCAGTTGTGTTTGTGACTTAGTACAGTAAAGACGTATTTCACAGCGGCATCTTTATGTGCATTGAATCTGTGCGATCAGTTGCGCCTGACGGAGGGTTAAGTTACTTTACAATAACCTCAGTTTCATCATCTAAAATAGTACCTACCTCATTGTGTTGTGGTAAGGTTTAAAACAGTAATACAGATAAAGTGCTTAGGATAGTGCCTGGCATAGAGGGAATGCTCAATAAAAGTATTCATCATCGTCGTCATCATATTCAGTGGGGGAACTCAGTGGATGACCTTTTGGAATTCTGTTTAAGGAATAGTAGAATTCCACCTGTCTCACCATTCTGGACTCCTCACAGATGTTCACTGTAATTTGTTCACCCTTCAGGCATCATTCTGGATGTTGATGATCAGCCCCAGGCTGAGATTGAACCTGGCTGCATTCTGTGAATCCAAGCTGTCAGGGCCTTCGCCAGAATGTTTACCTAATACCTACTCTCTAGTCTAGTTTTTGTAGATGGAAAGAAAGCCTTAATGTATAACCCTCTAGCTTAGTTTCTAAGAAGTAGCAGAGTTAAGACTTTTTTCTAGATGAGTAGTTTAGCCCAATTGTGGTCAGATTTTTTTCCTGACAGAATACTATTCCTGGTGATTAATTGGCTTCATTTTATTCTTACATATTTTAGAGTAGCCCAGAGGAAGAGGTTGAACTAAAGAAGTTGAAAGATTTGGAGAAGTCTGTGGAGAAGCTCGCTAACCAACTGGAAGAGTTGAATAAGGAGCTTACTGGAATCCAGCAGGTAACTCTCTGTGGACTTTGACTTTTTAACTTCTCTAAGAATTTTGTGGAGATACAAATGTGTGGTTATAAGGACAGGCTGTGAAGTCAGACTCCCTGGGTTCACATTCTGGCTCTATCCTTCTATCACTGTGGGCAAGTTTGCCTTTGTCTCAAGTTCCTCAACTGTAAAAAGGAGAAAATGATGGCACCTCTTTCTTGGGGTTGTTGTGACAATTAAATAATGTAGTTTGAGCCTGACACATGCTAAGTGCTTTGTAAGTATCATCATCGTTATTTTCAAACCCCAGCCAGCATCCATTTGTGCTCCTAGGAGAGGACCTGCCATGCTAGGATCATGTATTGTCTGAAATAGAATAGGTAACTTTGCTCAGTCTAGTTGTTATAATATGTTTAGTAAAGCAAAGTACATTGTTGATTCATAGGATGTCCAAGTTGAGTGTAATCTTAGTGAGATGAGGTAATCTAATTCAATTGCTTGTATTGGAGATGGGTTACTAAAACCAAGTAAAGATTGGAAGCAGCCCCAAATTACTTATTTCTTTTTGACCTTCTCATTTTGTAACATTAATGGATGTATGTTTGTGTTTTAATTACAAAAGTAATACATGCCGATTATATGTAATTTTTAAATAAACATGTGGGCACTAGTATGGGAAACAAAAATTACCTGTAAGGCCCTCCACTCAAGGATAATTATTACTAAAAACTGGAATGTATTTTTCCATCTTAAAAAAAAAAATTGGGGGCCGGCCGAGTGGCGTGTTAAAAGCTGGCTTGGGATGCCAGAGGGCCCCGGTTCAGATCCCACATATGAGGGCCAGTGACACTGCCCTCTACAGCTAAGATGCTGAACAACAGCATAGCAACTTGTCTGTTCCCCTTCCCCCAATTCCCCAATAAAAATCTTTTTAAAAAGGGCCGGCCAAGTGGCGCGATGGTTAAGAACTCGCTTGGGATGCCAGAGGGCCCCGGTTCGGATCCCACATAGGAGGGCCAGTGACACTG